ATGTCACAGTTTTATCCAATGGACTCCACGCATGCACCGTTTCATTTTATGATGAAAATTAGCAACTTGGTCACACTAGTTCAAGTCTCAATGGTGCCGCGTAGCACCAAATGATACACTAGCACTACTACAACATAGGGATATAGTAACACCAACTTGTGTTACTATAGGCTAAAAAAGGTGTTTTTATCTCTCTTAGTAACACATTGTTTTTGTGTTCCAATTGGCCATGTTACTATAGACTTTACAATGAACATTAGCAGCTTGCTCGCATTAGTTCAAGTCCAAATAGTGCCACGTAGCACCAAATGATACACTAACACTAATATAACACAGGGATATAGTAACACCAACTTGTGTTACTATAGGCAAAAAGAAGTGTTATTAATTATCTCTCTTAGTAACACATTATTTTTGTTTTTCCAATTGTCCATGTAACTATAGATTGATCTATTGGAACACAAGATATGTGTTCTTTTGTATAAAAAAAAGTGTTCCCACACTGTAACATATTTACTTATCTATTGGAACATTTGTTTAGTGTTGCAGTGATTTATATTGTAACACTTTATTTTAGCTCTAATAACACTTCCGCGTTGTGTTAGAACACACGATTTGTAACACATTCACTTGTGCACTGTAACGTTTCTCAAGTGTTACATTGATTCTTTATTGTAACACTTCCGGTGGTAGAGTACATAGTTTTGAATAGAGGAACACATGGTTTGTAACACATGTTTTACCTATTGTAACATATTCAGATTTTAAAATAAATATTTACTTGACCATTGCATGTGAAATACACATTCCGACAATCACACAAATATGACACATTGTAAAAGCACACAAACCACATGTTGGGGGTGTGTAATATGTTGGGAACCCCCACTATCATGTTTAAGGCCCAATTACATAACTTGTGACTAACAAAATAATGTTTGGGAGGGCGTTTGTAGCCTTTGGTGTCATTTTTGTAAATACTAACCCTTCTCTGGGTCCGTTTGTAGCCCTTAGTGGTACTTCTGTAAATACAAACCCCACCAAGGGGCATAAAGAAAACTTCCTCTCCCACCTCCCCTATAAGAGAGAGAGGTTATAGGGGAGGTGGGGAGGTGAAGGGCTGGCTGTTGATTTGCCAGGCTCCCTCTCTCCTTTGCTTACCTCTTCGCTATCTCAGATTTTGTTAGCCACACCAACATTGGCGCCCACCGTTCGTGCTTGTGATTTTCTTTCGGGAGAGCGAAGAGAGGAGCCCTTTGAGAGAGCCAACACTTCGTACGGGCAGGTACTCGCTTGGCCTAGGTGAACACCCTTCGCCGGTTGGCTGGGGCGAGCACCGCTTCGCGCTCGGACAACCCTTCGCCGGTTGGCTGGTTGCTTGGACAGACTTCGCCGCCACCGGTAACGGCGTTTTCACGCTTGGGCGAGGGCTGGCCTGGGCGAGCACCCCTCCGCACTACCTCGGCCTCGAGCATCGGCGAGCACCCTTCACGGTGTTCGGGCGAGCTCGGGCGCTCGGCATCGGGCGAGCACTCCCTTCGTGGCGCTTGGGCGATCCCGACCTAGAAAAGCTACATTCGACAGCCCAACTGAAGGTCCGGTGAAACTTGGTTCCGCCTCGCCGGCGCAAGTCGCCTGCTCACGGGCATGGCGATGGCGTGACCTCCGCCTCCTAGAAGGCTACCATGGGTGACCCTCCTTTCCCCAATCTCCCACCCTCCATCTCTCTTACAGCTGGCGGTCGAGATGTTGCTCGCGTTATGCGCGACCGAGATGATCGACGAAATGCAATCGAAGTATTCCTGATGTCATCATGTGCTTCCTGGGATCTAGGATGGGGATGTTCTTTGGTGGTTGTTAGTCTACATACTTTTTTCTTATTCAGCATAAGCATTGGTGATGCAAATCTGCAGGAGTTTCGTAACTAACCCACCACCTAACCAAGTGGCCAAGTGCTGCGGCGTGGGGCGTCGCACAGAACAGATTTGTCCATTTTGTGTTTGCTTGTACTAGCTTCTGCAGGCCACGGAGTTACAAATTTGTAGGAAAATGTCAGACTGTTTGACAAAGTTGAGTCGCAGTGGTATAGAAGAGTGTCCAGAATACTTTCTTTTCTAGTAAGGTTGGGGGGTCAATATCATTGGGAAAGTGACTGATACTGGTGGGTCGTTGCTGTAGAGATTTGAAAGGACAAGTCTGAGACCACTAACCCAGTGCTATGAGAGTAAAAATACAACTGTACTCCTCCCCTCCTCCCTTCGTTCCCCTTCAGGGAAGGTCTTGAATTTTAGAATGAAACATGCATGCACAGCCTCCCTGTAGCTCAGCAATTTCTATGCCATTGGAGTATTTCTTTTTTGCTAGTCCTGATTCTTTGTGTGGTGCCGTGCTATGTTTAAAGAAATTATGAAAATTCATTGCTTTGTAGCAAGATGAATATGCATAAAATTGTCTGCACATTTGAACTTTTTAATATTCATGTATTTCACATAGTCTCTCATGGAGGAAAAAAACCCACAAATGTTGAACTTTGCATCTTGGGATGAAAAACTGAGCTTTTCACTTGATAAGTGAAAAGTAATAGGTTGTTGAACTATACCCTTCTTCTCTGATTCAATTGTTTTATGGCGAAATAGTATCATATTATTGCAGAAAGTTCATTTGTTATACGGATTCTCAGCTATGAAGACTCTTTGAAATGTTGTCTTTTCTTAAGTTAGGAGCTTTTGCACAATTTTTGAGGTAAATTTCTTGCATATGATTACAGGAAGAAAAACACCAACACCCTTTCCAGTCTAAACTTAATGGACTTAACTGATTATGAGACTGAGGTGGAAGGTGTAGTCTGTTAGAGGCAGTTCTTCAGTTACTTAGTTTTTTCTTTTCTTTTCAGTTGGCTTCAATTGCCTAAACTCATCGTGATCTTTTGGTTGGATGCTAGCTGGTTGACTGGAAGATTCTTGCTTAGCTCTGTTGTTTGGCGCTGAAACTTGTAAGCTGGAAACCCCAGCATTGTTGTTGTGTCAGAGTCCGTACAAACTTTTATATTAACCTGGAAGCTCAACTTGTTTTTCTCTGCAACTGCAAAACTTGTTTCTGTTTTCAAACTGTCAACAATAATAGCAACAGGTAATATGGCTTCAAAGTAAATGCACTTTTCCGAACTAAGTAATTTCCCAGATTGATGACAAGCCCTTCCAAGACACAGAAGTTAATCATTTTAAATAGACTTTGCATTTTTTTCTTTTGGGTCAGCAGCAAGCTCTTTCACTCCTTTTTGGTTTAGGACCTGTTTTGTTTCAGTAAGTTGTCTGGGTTAGTTGCACTGTCTGTTATCAGTCAGTGCATAGTTTCTCTGCTTTCCTTTCGTTTGTCAGGTCTGAACTTGTGTTATAATATTGCTCCGTGCAGTAGTAGTTAGCCGCACAATCGTCCAAAGATAGCAAAAAATAGGAAAATACTAGCTTTTTTTTACCCCTCCCAAAAAGCTCATGAGCTGCTCTCGGCGCTTTGCTCTTAAGCCTCTGTCCGTCCTCTATATGATTATAGTATCAGTGGTACTTTAAAAATTCTTTCACTCCGTCAGTTTTGTGCAAACCTGTTTTCATATTCCGCAATTATATTAAGCACATTGCAGTTTCAATCATTTTGCTTAATCTTCATCTAACCCTGCAGGATTAACAAGAGGTCAGTAATTTATTCTCCTTTAATACTTTGAAATTTCTATCCTCAACATTGAACTAGATGGTCATGAGTAAGATTTTTCTAATCTCAGTGTTTTGGGGGTGTTTGGATCTAGGGACTAAAGTTTAGAAGGTGTCATATGGGGTGTTCGGATACTAATAAAAAAATAAATTACAGAATCCGTCGATAATCCGAGAGACAAATTTATTAAGCCTAATTAATCCATCATTAGCACATGTTTACTGTAGCACCATATTGTCAAATCATGGACTAATTAGGCTTAAAAAATTCGTCTGGCAAAACAGTTTCAATGTGTGCATTTAGTTTCGTAAATAGTCCAAACATACGATAAGATAACGACTAAAGTTTAGGAGGGGAAACAAACACCCTCATGCTAAAATGCCAGCTTTTCTAGAATTTTTGTCTTGTCATAGTCTTACATGATTTGCAAAATAATTCATCTAATCTTGCGATTACATGCAATCTCCCCTAAACTTGCAATATGTGCTTGTTTCCACCTTCAGTAAACTGTTCCACTCTATAAAAGCTATTCGGGGATCCTAAATCATAATTATGCTTTAAGTTTCCACTTTCTCCCCTGAAGATATGAGAAAAAAAGAAAAAACGAAGAAGACCACAAGGTTCATTCGGACACTTCGCAGCAGGCGAACACCGAACACCGGAGCACAACTTCGTCAAAGCAACTCCAGAGCCCATCATTTCGGACAGCCTGGCCCAACTCCAGCAGTAACACAATAAGTGCGAAATCCCAAACGCAGCATTTATCTTTTCACAATCATTTCGATCTTTTTAACGAACTCTGCTATTTCGCAGCCCAATCCCTTAGGAGCCTAACTCATCACTTATCTTTTCAATTTGCTAAAAAAGTCACTTATCTTTTCGAAAGAAAAAAAAAACACTGGATTTCGAACCTGAGGCACTACCCCAGCCAAGTTTTCTCCCGTCGGTGCCTGCTACTCCCTGCAGCTGCGCTACCCAGGTCAGGAAAGGTCAAGCGTGCCTGACGGAGTCAGAAACCCGTCCGGGAATCCCGTGTGCACCGACGGGGAAGATTTTTCGCGGCTGGCGCGAGCGCAAAAATCATCGCGCCCTGAAAAGCAGTCGCAAGTCCTACACGGTAGAGAAACAAGGGGAAAAAAAGAGCGCTAATAGAGGGTGCCTCCTGGGCCTTGCCCGTGACACCCTCGCCCAAATCTCGCATTCCTTTTCCCCCCAAATCTCGCAGCCTCTCTCTCTCTCCTTTGCATTCCATTCATCACTGCCCACCACCAGTTTATCCCTCGCCGGTCGCCGCCATGCACTCCCTCGCCGGTGTGCACCACCCGTACCTCTGCCACCAGAGATCCTACACGCTGCCGCCAGGGCCCCTCACAGCAAGGTCATTCCACCGTACCACTGCCGCAAAAACGCTGTGAGCCCGTAACCCTATGCTGATCTGTGGTCTGCCGACAGGCAGTGCCTCCGCCTCGACTCATCTGTGCGCCGCTGCTGCTGTAGGTCCATCGACATTGCAGGTTCCGGTATTATTCAAGCAGGGGCAAATGCAGGAGATGGGGTATCTGTAAATGCAGATGTTGCAGCTATGCAAATTGACAATGAAGCAGGTACTATTGCTCCAAAGAAAGGGAGTGGAAAGAATAAACCCTTTTGTTTTCGTTGCCTAACTAAAGGGTACGTAATGAATGACTGCAAAACACCAGTCTGCTGTGACATTTGTGATAGTGATACTCACGTCACCAAAGCTTGCCCTTCCATGAAGGGTGCAAAACCTACAGAAGAGCTATGTGGTTATGCAGTTCTAGGTTTGGGTTTTTATTATATCCCTTTCTCAGGTAACCAAAAGGCAAAAATTTATCCTACAAAAGCAATAGTGAAGGTCTCTGATGGTTCTCTTACTGTGAAACAAGTCAAAGTAGAGCATGAGAGACTCGTACCGGACTGGAAATGGGTTGTGGAAGAAATTAATGAAAACTCCTTTGCCACAACTTTTCCATCTAGTGCTGAGCTAAAACGTATGGATGATTGGGGTCCTGTGGAAGCAAGGAGTGCAAAAGCAAAATTGACTATTTCAGAGAAAAAAGATGCAGAGGTGTACAAGTCTGAAATTCCTAAAGTTTGGGTACAGTTCCATGGTCTCCCGAGCGACTTACGGAATTTTCCTATCATCTGGGCCGTGGGTACTATTCTTGGTGCCACAAAGATGGTGGATATGAAATTTACAAAGCGATTTGGAAGACCAAGGCTGAGAGTTGTTGTACTAAGTCCGAAACTAATTCCGGATTTAGTTGACGTTGTAATTGGAGATTTTGTGTATGAACTCCAATTCCGGCTAGAAATAGAAGAGGAGGAAAATGACCTAAGACTAATTGATATGGATAATCAGCCGGGTGAATCCGGCAAAAAAGATGATGATTTGGACATACTCAACAAAGACCCAACACCTAATGCTAAGGAATCAGACTCCAACAAGGAGAACACAAAGAAAGATAAGAAAGATGGGAGTTCCTCTGCTCCACCAGCAGCAAAAAATTCAAACAAAGGGACACAGGCCGCTCTTCTGTCACGGCCCACTATGGAGCTGAAGTCGATCGGGTTATTTGACTCAACCAAGGCTTGGGTACTTAAATCCTTCGATGGGCCTTTGAATTCAAAATCCCCTGTACAAACCCCTGCTGAAAATACCACGCCTACCCGTTGGAGCAAGCGCAATGTGGCGATAGGCGACCAAGACTCTACTGAGAGAGCAGCCAAGCTAAAGGCATGCAAAAATTTGGAGGAACCTAATAATTCAGGTAACATTTTAAACGCATCTTTTCTTTCATTCTCTAATGATGAAGTTGCTCATAATATCAGTAAGGTGGGGGTTTTGTTAGGTTCCAATGATACTAGTGTTAGTAAATCGATTAGAAACCTTGAACATGTGGAAAGGAGCAGACTGCATGTGTTGCCTAAACAAAAGGAACTACATGCTAGTAGCGAACAATTGGATTATAACTTAACAGATTCGGCGGATGAACTTGATCTCTTAGCTATTAACCAACTATGTGGTGAGATAGCCGAGGGTACGAGTGAAGGGGAAGCCATTGATCTATGTGATCTACAGGTGGTGCCTCAAAAAAATAAATCAAGTTCAAAAAAGAAAAAGAAATTATGCAAGAGAAAATCAAAAGAGAACCTTTAGTTTAACAATGAAGGGCATATTTTGGAATTGTAATGGGTTAGGTGACCCAAAAAACATAGATTTGTGTCTGATTTGGTGCGGGAAAAGGAGCTAGGTTTTGTTGCTTTATCAGAGACCGGTAGGAGGGACTACTCACCAAATTTTTTGAAAAATTTGTGTGGTGGTAAGGACTTTTTATGGCACTGTAAACCTCCTCGTGGCAGATCTGGTGGCATGCTAGTTGGTATAAACCTTCTAGAGTTCGACATTGGTGAGATAGAAGAAGAAAATTTCTTTATAAAATTGAAATTGAGAAATAAACAGGATGGCTTTCAATGGTTGCTTGTGTCTGTCTATGGGGCATCTCAACATCATCTTAAAGAGGCATTTTTAACAGAGTTAGTCCAACTATGTTATAATGAAACCTTACCGATTCTAATAGGTGGTGACTTTAACATCATTAGAGGGCCACAAGAGAAAAGTAATGCCAATTACAATGATAGATGGCCATTCTTGTTTAATGCTATCATTGATGCCTTTAACTTAAGGGAGTTGGAACTTTCTGGAAGACAGTTCACTTGGGCTAACGACCTAGAAATTCCAACTTTTGAAAAGTTGGATAGGATTCTTTCTTGTACAGAGTGGGAATTAAATTTCCCACGTACCACTGTCCAAGCTCTATCAAGAGAGATCTCTGATCATACACCCCTATTTATTAATACAGGGAAACCTGCATCTAATAATAATCAATCTTTATTTAAATTCGAGTTGGGTTGGCTGTTAAGAGAGGTGTTTATGGATTTAGTTACAGAGATCGGCACAGTATGGATCAGGGGCATAACTCTTTAGAGCGTTGGCAGGCTAAAAGTAGACGCCTGCGTCAATACTTGAAAGGGTGGGCCAAAAATACAAGTGGTGCTTACAAGAAAGAAAAGAAAAGGTTGCTAGAAAAATTGGATGAATTGGATAAAAAGGCTTAATCAACTTTGTTAGATCAAAATGAATTGAATCTTAAGCATGTCTTGAAAGAAAGATTGTCCGAACTTCTACGAGAGGAAGAAATAAAATGGTATCAACGTGCTAAAGTAAAGAATTTATTAGAATGGAATGCCAATACAAAATACTTTCAGTTAGTAGCAAATAGGAAACACAGGAAAACTAGGATATTTAGGTTGGAGCAGCACTACTAAAAAAAAGGTTTGTAGCAACGGCTCAATTTTTTTGTAGGGGCGGCTAGGGATGGAGCCGCCCCTATAGTGGGCGTGCTCGGGACCCACGAGACCAGTCGCCCCTACAAATGGCACAGTAGGAGCGGCTGGTGATACGAGCCGCCTCTATAAATAGGTCAATTTGTAGGGGCGGCTCAATAACCAGCCGCTCCTATAAATGCTGCGCGTAAGCAATCAAATAACCCAACAAATAAATACTCGGCTTTAGCTTGTCGTTCCAGAGGCTTCTTCTCATCCCGCCGTTCTCTTCTTCGCTTTCTCCCCCCCTCGCTCTCCCGACGCTGACAGGGTGATGGCCGCTGGCGTGCGCGGTGCGGCAGCTGCGGCCGCCCCCTCCTCTTCCTCCTCCATGCTCGCGTCGTCCCGGCCAGCCCCCCACCGCTGGCTCCTCGTGCGAGGAGCTGGTGGTGCGACGGCACCCCCTGGCCGCTGTGCTCGGGAGCGCCGACCACCGTCGTCGCCCCCCCCCCCCGGCGAGGTCGCCTCCTCCGAACGCCGCGGCCTTCTCTCCGGCCCCTGAGCTGGCACGTCGACCTGGGCGGATGGCCCCCGGCACGGCCACGCCGTCCTAGGGTTTGGCCGCCCATCGGCGCGTACGCCACGCCGCCGCCGCGGTGCCCAATTCTTCGTTGTGCCCATCACCGGCAAAAAGCACCCAGGTATGCCGGCCCCTTCACTTCCCTTCCTGCTGTGCGAAACCGAGCACCCAAACCCTGACTAAGTTGGCTATCTGCTTCGTTTCCCTTCCTGCTGCGCGACACCAAGCACCTAGGATCTAGTTCATCTTCCCTAGATCAGGTTTGATTGAATCGGGTTTTCTTCTGGCAATCCGTAGCGATCTTTGCACCTGCATTTCTATAGGCATGATTCGTAGCATCCCAGAGTACCAATTTGTTTGTGGAAATCAGGGCCATCTTCTACATTGCATATAATGATATGATGCAGCCGCGCATGTGTGTGTAGACCGCAACACGTTTCAATAGGTCGGTGAAAACCCAGGTCTTTTAACCTGCATTTCTATAGGCAAGATAAAACCCAGGTATATGTACTACATTCTAATACTGAATCAGACAATGCCGAATGTAGTATGTTTTGGGTAAAATTTCCATTTTGCACTAAGGCTGCCCAAATATCTTCTGATTCTGTTTTGCTTTCAATAATTGTATCTCAATATGCTTGTTATAAGTACCAACAAAAAAAAATGGTACAGGTCAATGGCTGATTTGCTTCTGATGCATGTAATCAATTGGTATAAATGATTATATATTGTTTTGATGTCCATCAACAGCACTGCAGAGATTTATATTACACATTGGCAAGCAGCATTTGCTTGCCAGTTTAAGAAGACAAGCAGCATGGACCTTATTAAGTAGATAGTCCTCTTATTTGTTAAATGCTCATAGTCCTACTTCATTGTAGTTGTGCATTGAGTTTGGTTGATACTTGTATGCTCTTGGCAACATTGAAATCATGTGCCATCTCTTATGAATTTTTGGCCTTTTGTGGTGGTCTTCTCAGTATTTCTTCAATTATTTTGCAGGAACCCCAGCCAATTGATTGGGAGTACTACAGAAAAGGAATTGGATCAAAAGTTGTCGATATGTACAAAGAGGCCTACAAAAGTAAGTAGTAATTTCCCTCTTCATCTTACTCATGTTTCTGCAAACTGTTGCGCTATTAAATTGCAAGCAATGCTGTTGTGACGTACAATCTCTTTTCATTTCAGAATACAAGGTCCACTCCCACAACAGAAATGGGCTTTGTGCGGTGGCATTCATGGATGATCACTATCTTGTACTAAGTGCATTTTCTCTCCTGAATATGGTACTGACAATTATTCCGGAGACTCCCACTTGCCTTTACTTTTGGTTTAAGTTCTGTTTACCAATTGTAAGCTGTAGCCAGCCACTTTTCATCCAGTTCTGTTTAAAGTTTGTTAATCTGAACAGTGACTCCTGGAAATCTGCTACTGCAGATGGAACTCAAGAGTGGGCTTTCCTGACAGATGCCTTGACAAAATTTCAGGTTCAAACCTTCATGTGAAACACAAGTACTTTCTGCCCATGTATTGATTGATCTGACCTTGTATAAATTATCACCATCTATTGTTGGTGCTAATAACTTTGGGTTGTTTTCTATGAAAAGGTCAGATAAATGGATTGAATTCCAATATTTTTGTTTCTGGTATCTTCATTGCAACGTGACGTGTTTGTTTTGGATGCCACAAGATTGTTTTGAGATTGTCTTATTTGACACTATATTGTATGAGTTGAATGTATAAATATCTGGTTGTTCCAGATTGTCAAATCACTGTGATAAAGAGTTAGTTGTCCAGCTGGACTGCTCTGATGACTGCCCAGAAGGAACATGCTAATTTTTTTGAAGTAATATTATATCATGTGATACATCTTGTGATGCTTGTGGTTGAATGATATTGGTTATTGCTGTGTGGCTGATACTGGATTATGCCTGTATTCCTTTACACCCTATCTGCCCATAAGGAAGCATATTCACATTACTCATGATATGTTCATCATTTTTTAGGACCCTGCGGAAGCTGACAAATTAATGAAAATCCAGAGGGACTTGGATGAAACAAAAATTATCCTTGTAAGTGTGATGTGATGTATTTAAATCTTTCATTGCTTACATATTTTCAGTTTTGCAGAATATGTCTCATGCACTAAGTACTGTTGGATTACTGTTCATTGCTATAACATAACATATACCTTTGAGTATTGTCTTTACAGAATATCCGCTTTAGCTGTACATTAGGCCTTCTTCTGCTGGCACTATATATATATATATATATATATATATATATGAGCTTACATCCAAGCCACGGAGCATTAGACCTAAGTCGCTTCATGCTTGTGCTGACACTTGATCTAGAATGTTTTAGATCTAAAGCCAAGAGTGTCTTCGGTAGTGGTTCAAACTGAACTTAGTTTCATTGAAATTGGGTAACATAGTTGAGTATGAACAGCTCTACATCTTGTAAATAAGAAATGCAAGCTTTCTCAAGCATACGTGATGTTTCTTTTATGGCCTTATGTGCATACTTTAGTCTGTGTGAGCAAATCTTTGAATATATGCAAATCTGACAACAATTGCTAATTGTGGGTCCTTTATGCTTTAATATTTTAACAGCATAAAACTATTGAGAGTGTCCTTGCCAGAGGAGAGAGATTGGATAGCTTGGTTGAGAAAAGCTCTGATTTAAGTGCTGCTTCACAGGTAATCCTATCTTTACTTTGCCGAATGAATTATTTTCTTTTATGCTGTTAAAGCGTAAAATATGTTAAAGCTTTGCTATTTGCTGCTAATTTTCACTGTCATAAACGAAGTACTGAACAACTTACTTTACTAATTCACAAAAAAAAGGATACTCTTGTACATAGTGGTTCGTCAGGTGTACATACTCTGTTAGATGTATGTTGCTGACTTCTCCAGGTAGCAATCATCATCTATGGGAGTTTTAAAAGAAAATTATCGACATGCCATCTTTTATATGTCAGTCTCAGTATTCAGTAGTACTCCCTCCGTCCAAGTTTGATGAACTTATAAGGCCCAAAAAGGTTTTCAGAATTGATAAGTGCGTAATGCTCAGCAGCTGTACCCAGGTGCTAGCTTTACTCGGGTCATCAATGAGGCGCTATTCTCCTAGGCGTCTAGCGTCCTATTGCACGCATACATGAGTTAAAATCCCATGCGCCGACGCTTGGGGTGTAGTAGTCCAATCCCATGCGTGAAGCAAGCATTTATGCATGCATGAGTTAACAGATGACGGTGAGAATTTTCCTTCTCCCTGGTCTTGCTGCCGGCCCTAGGCCCCAGCAAATATTCTGATCATAGAATAGATGGACAGTGAGTTACTCTTAAGACATGCATCAGATAAATAAGCTAGTTTCCGGCACACTTCATTCACCCCGATCCTCACAACCATTCATGTCAGTCTATCCAAAAATGAAGTAGATCAAGGAATTTAGGGGTACATGATCCATAGCTGAATTTTACAGTTCCATAACTAGGCCATTTGTTCTCTCAATTAGCGCTCAGCCCCATATTTTTTTTAGATGCAGCTAGGCGCACACACTGAGGGCTTTAGCTGTATACCCACATTTTATTTACTTCTGTTTCTTCTCAATTGCGACTTCAAATAACTTGGAACTCATTAACAGTGCCCAAGTTTTTGTAAATTTGGGAACAACACTTTAGCTCCATAGGTTACTATCTTATTTATTTTTTTAAGATTTTGTTTAGGCTGTCTTTAGTTATATACCCACAGTTTACTAACTTGTGTTACGAGCCCAGTTACTTTGGAGGTGTGCTTACTAACAAGTAAAGTTAATCAGTTAATTATATTTTTATAGGTATGCATGAGCTGTCCAGTGTACATGAGCCCAGTTACTTCATATCGATTCTCAAGATGTATACATATCGATAATTCTCGTTAGCTTATATGTTTGTATACATACTTGTAACGTTCACTTAGGTAGAAATCCTCAGGACCACCATCTTGTGCTCTTGTGCTTGTGAGATTTGAATTATATATATATATATATATATATATATATGTGTGTGTGTGTGTGTGCGCGCGCGCGCGCGCGTGTATTCTGGTCGAATTTAAATTGTAAATTTAATTTTTTTTTTGCGGAAAAATATACTGGAGGGGCGTTTAGACTGAACCGCCCCCTACAAACAGGTATTATAGGGGCGGCTGGTACTACAGCCGCCCGCCTCTACAAATTATAGGGGCGGCTGGTAACACCAGCCACTTCTACAAATCGATTTGTAAGGGTGCTCTGGGAACCGCCCCTATAAATGCATGATTTATAGAGATGGTATGGTAGGGACGGCTGGTCAAACCGCTCCTACAAATCACCTGGAGCCGCCCCTACAAAAGGTTTATGTAGTAGTGCAGGAGGAAGGTTTAATTCACGGTGACGCTAAACTTAAAAAATATATCACCACTTACTATAAAAAATTATTCGGGCCATCTCATCATAACAACTTGTGATGGATGAGTCATACTGTGATGACATCCCTCAAGTTATAGCCGAGGAAAATGAACTCTTGGTTGCTGAGTTTATGGATGAGGAGATTAGAGGTGCAATTTTCCAAATGAACCATAATACGGCTCCAGGTCCTGATGGCTTTCCTCCAGAGTTTTATCAGGTATTCTAGAATATGATTAAGGATGATCTAATGGCTTTGTTCACGGATTTCCATAAGGGAGAATTGCCTCTACATAGCCTAAACATCGGAATGATCATTTTAATACCAAAGTCTAAAGAAGCTAAACAAATACAACAATATAGACCTATGTGTTTGTTGAATGTTAGTTTCAAGATTTTTACTAAAGTGGCTGCTAACCGAATTGTAAACATAGCTGAACACATAATTAAACCATCCCAAACAACATTCCTACCTAGGAGAAATATAATGGAGGGTGCAGTTATTTTACATGAAACCCTACATGAGTTTACATAAAATAAAACATAATGGAATTATCTTTAAGATTGATTTTGAAAAGGCATATGATAAAGTGAATTGGAATTTCTTACAACAAGCACTAAGAATGAAGGGTTTTCATCCGGTGTGGTGTGATTGGGTCAGGACTTTTGTTCAAGGTGGGAATGTGGGCATTAATGTTAATGATCAATTGGGCTCATATTTCCAGACAAGGAAAGGTCTTAGACAAGGTGATCCACTATCACCGATCCTTTTCAATATTGTTGTAGATATGGTAGCTATCATTTTATCTAGAGCCAAGGAGGAAGGCCAAATACAAGGGGTTGTTACACACCTAGTGGAAAACGGTTTGTCTATCTTGCAATATGCAGATGACACGGTTCTATTTTTTCGACCATGATATTGAACGGGCAAAAAACTTGAAACTTTTGCTTGGTACTTTTGAACAATTATCAGGTTTGAAAATAAACTTCCATAAAAGTGAATTATTTTGCTTTGGCCAAGCAAAGGAATCTGAGGAGCAATACTCATATCTATTTGGTTGTAAAATGGGATCATAACCTTTTAGATATTTGGGCCCTCCAATGCATTACAAGAAGTTAAATAATAAGGATTGGAAATTAATTGAAGAAAGAACTGAAAAGAAGTTAAGCGGGTGGAAAGGAAAACATTTATCATATGGTGGTAGATTAGTGTTGATCAATTCTGTTTTGTCAAGCATACCTATGTTCATGATGGTCTTTCTTTGAAGTCCCAAGAGGTGTTCTAAAAAAGATTAAATGTTTTAGATCAAGGTTTTTTTGGCAAAATGATGAGCACAAAAAGAAATATAGACCGGCAAAGTGGAATATTTTGTGCCAACCAAAAGAGCAAGGCGGTTTAGGAATTCAAAATCTAGATTTACAAAATAAGTGTCTTTTGAGCAAATGTCTTTTCAAACTTTGCAATGAGGAGGGCACTTGACACGAGTTAATAAGGAACAAGTTCCTAAAGAATAAGACTCTAAGTCAAATTGAAAAGAAAAACGGGTTTTCTCATTTTTGGAATAGTTTGTTGGGAGTCAAAGACATTTTCTTAAGTCTTGGGAAGTTTAAACTAGACAATGGAACTCAAATTAGATTTTGGGAAGATAAATGGTTGGGCTCCCAACCCTTGAGAATCCAATACACGAATTTATTTAATATAGTGCATAAGAAACAAGCAACAGTAGCTGATGTACTTAATTCCACCCCTCTCAATGTGTCTTTTAGAAGGGCACTAGTTGGGAACAAGTTGTTGGAATGGCAAAGTCTAGTTGCGAGAGTTGCTTTTATTAACTTAAATAAGGGTCGGGATACTTTCATCTGGAACTTAAATAATAATGGCTTGTTTTCTGTTAAATCCATGTACAAATATCTAGTCAATAATGGGATTAAGGTTACCCAGGAAATTTGGCATATGAAAGTGCCCTTGAAGATTAAGATTTTTCTTTGGTTCTTGAAGAAGGGGGAGATACTGACAAAAGACAATCTTGCTAAAAGAAATTAGAATGGTAGTAAGGCTTGTTGTTTTTGTAGCACACCTGAAACTATCCGACACTTGTTTTTTGATTGCCATTATGCCAGATTTCTTTGGCGTGCTATGTTTGTTTTGTTTGGAATTAATCCTCCAACAAACACAAACCATCTTTTCAATAGTTGGTCAAAGCTAGGAGGTTCCAATCATAATCATCTTTTATTGACTGGGGCTGCGGCGTTTTGCTGGGGCAATATTGATCACAAGAAACGATGCAGTTTTTGATAAAGGTCACCCAAAAACTTTTTTGCAGGTTCTTTTCAGGGGGACACACTGTTTATGATTTTGGGCTCTGTTGCAGCGCTCGGATGACGACAAGGAACGGATTCTTGACGCTTGCAAGCTACTAGAATCGAGAGCCATGGAATTATTTGCATCGCATGGATGGTCCTTCGTTTACCGTCTTGAACTTTAGTTCTGAACCTGTAATAAGTTTTAATTATAGGTGTGCTACTGTAATAAGTTTGGACTGATGCTTCTTCTTCTTAGAAGAAGACTGAAGCTGGAAATTTTCCATTATCCAAAAAAAGTTAAGTATATGCTAGATTCTAGGTATAAATCTGTATTTGAACATCAATTTGAGCTTCTCTAACAGATCTGCAGTAGCAGGGCAGCTTGGTTGGCAGCTCCCAGATGTGTTGTGGTAACATGGCAGCTTCTTGATGTACTGTGGCACAATAGTGGTTCTGCACTGATGGCATGTGGTGCAGCATGAGTGGTGAGCATCTCCCCTTCAATACATGGTCCTTGCTTATCTGGGTTGAGCAGTTCATTTGTTAATTATTTTTCTCTAATTACATTGATACTGCTAGGTGTTGCTATTAACTTAACAACTTTATGATTGAGTAGCAAAAGTGGGGGGAAAACCTTCGTGTCCATATATTAGTAATTGAGATGACAAATCCTAAAATTGTAAGTGGAGAACCTATCACTACGTGAAAAATAGTTTATAGCAACGGGACTTTTTTTTAAGGGCGGCTGGCATTGGAGCCGCCCCTACAGTGGCGTACTCGGGCTCCAGCACAGCGGCCGCCCCTACAAATAGCATAGTAGGGGCGGCTAGTAATATGAGCCGCCTCAACAAATGAGTCGATTTGTAGGGGCGGTGTCCATTTGTAGGGGCGGCTGAATCACCAGCCGCCACTACAAATGCCTGTTGTATATATAGCAGCCACCTCCAGCCCGAGCAAAAAAAAAAGTTCCAACCCTAACTCCCTCTCACGCATCCACATCCGCATCTCCCTCCTCTCTCGGCGGCGGCTCCCTCTCTCTCTTGTCTCCGCTCTCCTCCCTCCCTCTTCTCTTAGTGGCTCCGTCGTCCTCCTGTCGTCCCTCCCCTCCGCTGACGCGACGCCCACCTCAACCCGCGCTGGTTTCCGTTCGCGCAGTGACTAACCACGCGGCCGTGCGGGCGCGAGACGAGACGAGACCAGTGACCACCACGCGCTCGCGGCAGCCCCTATAAATGCATGATTTGTAGAGACGGTTTGGTAGGGGCGGCTGGC